CAGGCCGTTTTGAAGCCAGTGCCCAAACCCCTCCAAAACGGAAGGCCGTTTTGAAGCAAGTGCCCAAGCCCCTCCAAAGCCTGAGGATCATCAGCGATTTTGGCCGCATCGGGCCTTCCCGTATCTGTGCCGAGGATCGATGCATGCGCCCTCGTGGCTTGGCCAGGGGGGCGTCTGCACCAGCTCTGGGTCCAGGAGCGGCCAGGCCAGCGCTGGTGAGGTGCATCATCGGCGCGATCCGTGCCGACGTCCCCCGATCCATGCCGTGTGGCTTCCCCTGTTCCTCTCCCAGCCCTCGCCAGCCGTCCGATACTGGTGCTCCATTCTGCTTCCTCCCATATTTGTTTCCTCTCAGCCTGCAATTTGTTCGTTTGTTTGCTTTTCATTTCGCTGTTGTTCTCCACGTTTCGGCCTCTGCGGGCAGTTTCTGGGCTGTCGAGGAATGGATCTGGGACGATAGCTGTCCCCGTGGAAAGTGCTGGGAGTTTTTGGGCAGCGGACTGGAAATGTCGCATTGTCGGATGTCGGGGTCTCAGTGTCGTTGTTGGTGTTGCTATGCCGTTCGCAGTGATCGTGCTACTGGTGCTAATGCCGTTGCCGCTGCTGCTGCCGCTTCTGATTGTATTGTTTGTGTTGCTGTGCTCGTTTCCATGTATGTGTTATGTGTATCTTTCTCTATATATAAAACTCTCTCTTTTCTCTCTCTCTCTCTCCATATATATATATATATGTATAAACGTCCCTCTCTCTTTCTCTCTTTGCCTGTCCCTGTCTCCCTGTTGCCCCCCTCATCATCATCGTCCTCTTCTGTGGCAATATCTTGTCGATGCCTGTGCTTAAGGCGTGGTCAGTGTATGGCGCACTACTTTTCGTCTCACCGAGGCTCGCTCGGCTCGCCTTAAGTGCGACTTTCATCTGTGATGATGCATCATCCGAGGCAGGGGTTTATGCATAACCACCGCCTGGGGGATCGATCCTTGCGGACCTCCACAGGCGGTGGATATGGATATATTCGGGCCCTCGGGGGCCCACGTATACCCATATTCCCGCCTCGCACATCATGCATTGATGTCTCCACCGTGATTCTTCACTTTGTAACTGGTGCCGTTCGGATTGAACGAACGCTTCTGCCGTTCCCTCGAGTGTATTGAAGTCCAGTTATCGCACTGGTCGCGGAATTCTGCTGAATACGAGGGCTCCTGAGGGTGCGCCCGCCTGGTCGCGCATGTCGGCCGCCCCTGTTCTTTCCCGCATGCACTTGCGTACGTATCATATCCCACGGCTGCAGCAAGCAGCCTCCCCTTTCCACATCCTGTACACCCTCTACATCCTCCTGCTCGTGCCCCTGCTCCTGCTTCTCACCCATCCTCCCTCTCCTCCGTCACCTGGTCCGTCTCCTCCCTCTCCTCCTGCTGCACTCCCTCTTTCCATCCTCCTGTTTCCCTCCTGCTCCCCCTCAAGCTCTCCTCCGTCCATTCCTTCTGTCTCCCGCCTGCCCTCCCTCCTGCCTCCTCCCTCCCTCCTCCCTCCCTCCCTCCCGCATTCCTCCTATATATATATATATAATTATATATATAATTATAGATCTCATTTATTTTATGTACACACAAGATCACTTATGTATGTACATATACACATAAATATATATGACTACATACATACGTACATCTGTAATCATATACACATGCATCTGTATATCTATATATATATATATGTGTACACGTATTCGTGTATATATATATATATATATAGGTGTGCAAGGGTCTGTTCTGGGCTCCCCAGCTAGTATTATTAGTATTAGTAGTAGAAGTCGTAGTAGTACGAGGAGTAGTAGTAATCGTAGTAGTAGTAGTAGTAGTAGTAGTAGTAGTAGTAGTAGTAGTAGTAGTAGTAGTAGTAGTAGTAGTAGTAGTAGCAGTAGTAGTAGCCGTTGTAGTAGTATCAGCAGCGGGGTAGTTTCAGTAGTAGTAGTAGTAGTAGTAAGTAGTAGTAGTAGTAGTAGTAAAAGTACTGGAAGTAGTCGTAATAGTAGTAATGGTAGTAGTAGTAGTAGTAGTAGTAGTAGTAGTAGTAGTAGTAGTCGTAGAAGTAGGAGTAGTAGTAGTAATAGTAGTGGTAGTAGTCGGAGTCGTAGTCGTAGTCGTAGTAGTAGTAGTAGTAGTAGTAGTAGTAGTAGTAGTAGTAGTAGTAGTAGTAGTAGTAGTGGTAGTAGTAGTAGTAGTAGTAGTAGGTAGTAGTAGTAGTAGTAGTAGTAGTAGTAGTAGTAGTAGTAGTAGTAGTAGTAGTAGTAGTAGTAGGTAGTAGGTAGTTGGTAGTTGGTAGTTGGTAGTAGTAGTAGGTAGTATGTAGTAGGTAGTAGGTAGTAGGTAGTAGGTAGTAGGTAGTAGGTAGTAGGTAGTAAGTAGGTAGGTAG